CTGCTCTCGGAACGGGAGGATGAACCCTGAGGCGGAAGATAGTCGTTTCGTTCCCGTTCACCAGCAGCATCGGATTATCAGTGAATGCCAGTTGTCTCTGAGGAAAGTTTATAAAACGATCCTGTGTATCACTACAGAGGCGGGTGTTGCTGTCGGTGATCCTCAGCTCTTCAAGGTTAGCTCTACACAAAATTAATTCACCTCGTCTTGATGTGATCGCTTTTAGGAAATTTAAATAAAGACACCGATCTGTTTTGCACATGATCGCATCCAGGTAGTAGCCTATGCATTTCCTTGTCAAAGGCATAGCAAGCTAGCAAACTGTAGACTGTAGTAATAGTACTGACAGTATCTCGCGATTGAGTGGCGAATGCAAATGTGCTCTATTGTTAGTGAAGAGATCAGCTCCTGTCTATGGATCAGCTAATGTGCGTCATCAAGTTGGGGCGTGTCCACGAGCTCTTGGGCTCCAGTGCGTCATCGAGCCCTGTTTTAGTCCCGCCCAAAAAATCTGTAAAATAGCAAGGGTGAAAAACTGTTGAACAATATATTTATTTGCACGGATTAATTGTTCATCACAAGACTAGTAATATGCGTTAACAAAGTAAATAGGTTTATTTACATTAGAGAATAACATATAGATCATATTCTAACTTTTCATCATGTTGAACTAAATAACATTGATTAGTTTGCTCACCATGCTCAAAATTTGCTCACCTGTTTTATAAAGTAACCTGCAACACACTCGCGTCTCTCAGTCGAAGTTAGTCACGGAGGTGCTCTCTGCATCTCAAAAGACGTTGATCTTCGTTTTAGTCTTCTTTTTGTCTCAAAAGCCCCTTTCACACAGAGATTCCGGAAAATAAACGGATAATGTGACCCGGCATTTGTCCCCGGGATTGTTTGATTTCGGTTCATTCACACTGCCAGTGATTTGCCGGGATCTGTGAGGGCGTTCACACACAACCCGTAAAAATCCTGGGAAAACACATGGCGTCAGGATGAGACTATAACGTACACGTCAAAAACATGTACACACGCATACCTTTCCACAAAGCTGGTGAACGATCTCAGCTTCAGTACGGATAGTGAGGAGCCCCTGGTATCTGTTTCGCTCCAGTTTGCATGTATTTGTTCGTCCTTTCTTTGTTGATGACGAACACAAACTTTCTTCTAAGAGCAACAGATTTGGGCGTTGGCACGAGCGTCATCACTATGACACCCTTTACGGCATTGGTCCTGGCTTTTGTTCACACGGCGCGCGTTCCGGGACTGATTACGGCAATGTTACTAGGTCCCCAACCCGGGATCAGTCCCGGTATCAATCCCGGGTCGTGTTTGCATTCACACAGAAGGCAATTCTGGCAATTTCCTGGCAATTTCCTGGGATCAACGCGCTGTGTGAAAGGGCCTAAAGTCTGCTTGCCATGGTCCATAATCTATGAACAAAACAACAACAGCATGAGCGTCCTTCTAGGCATAACGGGGATAACTGACCCAGGGTGCTTCTCAATATCCCTCCTCGTCTCCTCGCTCCTCCGTCCTCCCTCCTATGACCCGGAAACCGATCGAGCTCAGCCATCTTGAAGGACATCTAAATTCTCTAATTGCACCGTGAGGAGTTGAGGATCGAGGAGTGAGGAGGCTTCCTGAGGATTCATAAGCGAGGATACACAGGTGCATCCTACGCGGAACTGTTATATTGACTAAACGTGACGCACGTGTCAATTCTCCTCCCCCTTCACATCGGTCACAATCATTTTAATTTATACTTTACCTTTGCAGTTTATATAAACCACACATCTCAGATATTTCAACAGTATAGTCTATCTTTATTATTATTTATTATGAATTACCAAACTTCAACAACATAAGGGCAGATCCTTTTAGCGCTGCTGATGACACTGTGGAGTGACGCTCGAGTGATCAAGAATTCCAATGGACATAAAAAAGCTTTTATTCGATTCCTCTGTCCTCCAGCGTTGAATGCAACAAAAATATGGTTTACAAAAAGTACATAACCAGCCAGTGTTCTAAACTATCTGCTTGCCTTAGCTTGATTCACTATGGTAAGCTTGTAATAATGTTTTTTCTTTAATTATTTCCTTGGGAAATTCGAGCATGTCTTTGCATCATTACATCAAATCTGTACATATAAAGAAGGAGTCTCGGCTAGTAGTCTATATGCGTGTTAGGATGTTGGAGGTGGAGATTTTATAGCATTTTCTCACAGCACTTGATATAATTAAACTTATTAATTTGATGGCGGATCCAAAAAGGTTAAAACGATAATCACCAGTGACAACTGGAGACTCACCTTTCGTAAAATGCAAACTGCGACTTTGGACTGAGAGTTTGGAAAAAGAGACTGCAACCAGGTCCACAAGGATAAATATCGGAAGGGCTTTAAATGTACTTATGCAATGCTGATGTTGTTAACATTAACAATTTGACAACAAAGCATAATTTGCAAGGTTTGACATGATATAAGCGATCGTTAGATTTAATCAGCGCAATTTACTGCGATGCTTTTTTTATCCCTTAGTTGGTCAGAACAAACGTGGATGGTACTTGTTCCGATGATAAATTAGGGTGAAAATCAGTGGCGTAACTATTGGTGTAACACTGGTGCAGTTGTGGAAGCAGTGAAGAGGCTCGATCCAAGTGCAGCACACTTTATTACATAAACTACAAATAACACTAGATACCAGATTAAGAACAAGACTAAGAATAAACTCAGGAACAACCTGACACAAGTCAGGTTGAGTTTCAACCTGACACAAGCATTAAAGGGGTGATGAACTGAGAAATCAAATTTTCCTTGAGCTTTTGACATCTAAGAGGTCATCATATTATAAGAATATCCTGTAAGTTTCAGAACTGAAAACGTCCTTGTTAGTCCAATAAAAGCTTTTATTGACACAGCCTCTAAAAACGACTCGTTTTTAAAAGTGGGGAACTATGACGACAAAGAGGATAAAACACCACCCCCACAGAAGATGATCAACGCCTGCTTCACCAGGGCAGGTTTAGCCCCGCCCACCGATTCGCGCATTACACACGTATCATACATGTACATGCTTACCTCGTGATGACAAACTGGATCGCTACCGAGCAATACAGAATATTGTGCAGTGCCTGGTTGTGCAAGACAGTCGCTGCATAAGCTTCCTGTGGATTCCAATAGGACTGCATGGATAAAATTTATTTTTAATGACGTTCCAGCTGATGAGGTAAAACATCGTCGTCTGTTCGCTTCATTTCACTGAGGATTGTTTTGTCAACAAGACTGGATTTGCAGACCGATTAAGAGTAAAGAACGGTGCTGTGCCGTCTATATTGGATCTGACAGGGAACTCTGGGTTGAACATGTATGGGCGAATCCGGTTGCCATTTGACAACATAGGACGTTTTCCCCCACGTACACCGACGGGTGAGTTAAACTCATTATAATATGCAAAACTGTTCTCCACTCGCAGCAGTGGGTGTTTACTTCCAAGTCTTCAGTGCGACATGCCCATAAAAACCGACTGTTTTTTAGGTAGGCTCACAACCAGGGTACAAATAGCCTATACTTGTTCATTTTGATGTTTTTGAATGCAAAAACCAAGCGAACGTTATAAGTTGACCTCAGACAACCATATAATAACATTTAAAAAGCCAGTTCATGACCCCTTTAACAGTCACACATGAAACAGGAACACAAACCAAGACTGGCAAACAAGATGCATGAATCAGACCATAGAACAAACAATAGTCGACCAAGACAGAGGGTAAACATGAGCTTAAATACATACAGGACTAATGACGAGACAAGGGACACCTGTGACCATTTAACCTATCAACCACTGAAAACATGACACAACAGAAAAGTGAACACAAGGCAAGATCACATGACTAGAACAGGGGATCACATGACAGACAAGAACAGGAACAAGACACAAAACCCAACCGCAGGGTACGCAGTTACTTACGGGCCCGGACCAATCAGGGACCCGCCTCACTGGAAGATATTGATTGACAGCCGGGCCCATTTTCTATTTTTAATCTGATAGCATTTTAATTTTTCGCAAATATATTTGAATAAATAATGACGACAACATATTTTACTGATCAATTTTTTTTTTTTTTTTTACGTATTTGAACCTAGGCCTATGTGTGTGTAGTCATAGCAGTGAGTAACAATGTGTTATGGTGGTTTTTTTTTTTTTTACTGACAGCTGGACATTCTCCTAAAAACATTGGATTCATTCGTGCAGAACAACCAGATGATTGGAGATACAGTATGAATTGAACAAAACACAGGGCTTGAATACCAAAGCAAACAAAGCAACAAAATAAACAGGTGAAAATTATAATCACATCAATGAATAACCATAGAAAAGAAATGCTCTGGTTACTCACGTTACCTCGGTTCCCTTATAGTCGATAGATTTTACTATAGTAAAAATGATTGCATGTAATCTAAACATTGAAGCTGTTATTCAGTCATGAACAGCATTTTAGGTTCCTTTCACTTTAAGGAACAGATAACAATGAACTGAACATTAACTACTACAACAGTTAAGAATAAATTGCATGCTTTTGAAGTATTCTTGATAAGAGGCTTTTTCTTTTAAAGGTTGGAGTCTCTCCCTACTATGACCACTGGTAGGGGGCCCCAAACAGCTGCCTACCCATGCCACCATGTTACTACCACCACCTAAATGTTAATGCATTGGGTCAGTTGGTCAGTCTTGCCATTTGACTAGTCAACCACAAGAGCATTTACACTATGGAAGCAATCTAGTCAAGTGCATTTTAATACCTCTGGAATTTGTTTAAAAATGAATAAGCTCAAAACCTTTTAGACACCGTTACACCGGTCTTTATATATATATATTTTTTTTTATCTGATCAACCAAAACTTCTCCCAGTGTAAAAGTAAGAGAACAAAGCAGATCATCTTAAACAGATGAGGTCATGCCAATGAAGCAGAAACAATACAAAGACTCCCAGTATACACTTGAGGTTACAAGTTGTTTATTTTTCAAAAACAAAAGCAAACACTAAACAAGAAAATAAGGCAGAGAATGCAGCTATGATTTGACTTGATGCAACAACCTCAATATGCCTGGAGACAAATGCTTATTTTGAGTAGTCTGAGAGTGCAGAGGTGCTGGATTTTGAAAGCCAGATTGGACAGACTGCATCAGACTCACAGCTTGAAGTGGTATTTTACTGGGTTGCTCCCAAGGTTTGGAACCAAGACTGGAAAGAGACGTGTAACTTGACTGCTCTGGTTTAGGCGAGACGTGGAATCTTGACTGCCGCAACACAGACTGGTAGCTGGTTTGAGCTGACTGAAGACCACTGGGCTGGGATACAGACTGGTATCTGGCTTGGGCTGACTGCAGACCGCTGGGCTGGTAAACAGATGGGTACCCAACTTGGGCTGACTGCGGGCTACTGAGCTGGGACATAGACTGGTAGCTGGCTTGTCCTGATTGCAGACTGCTGGGCTGGGACACAGACTGGTAGCGGGCTTGTCCTGATTGCTGACTGCTGGGCTGGGACACAGACGGGTAGCCGGCTTGGGTTGACTGCAGGCCGCTGGGCTGAGACATAGACTGGTATCCTCCTTGGGCTGACTGCAGATCACTGGGCTGGGACACAGACTGGTAGCGGGCTTGTCCTGATTGCTGACTGCTGGGCTGGGACACAGACGGGTAGCCGGCTTGGGTTGACTGCAGGCTGCTGGGCTGGAACACAGCCTGGTATCTGGCTTGGGCTGACTGCAGATCACTGGGCTGGGACACAGACTGGTAGCGGGCTTGTCCTGATTGCAGACTGCTGGGCTGGGACACAGACTGGTAGCGGGCTTGGACTGATTGCTGACTGCTGGGCTGGGACACAGCCTGGTAGCCGGCTTGGGTTGACTGCAGGCCGCTGGGCTGGGACACAGCCTGGTATCTGGCTTGGGCTGACTGCAGACCACTGGGCTGGGACACAGACTGGTAGCGGGCTTGTCCTGATTGCAGACTGCTGGGCTGGGACACAGACTGGTATCTGGCTTGGGCTGACTGCAGACCACTGAGCTGGGACACAGACTGGTAGCGGGCTTGGGCTGATTGCTGACTGCTGGGCTGGGACACAGCCTGGTAGCCGGCTTGGGTTGACTGCAGGCCGCTGGGCTGGGACACAGCCTGGTATCTGGCTTGGGCTGACTGCAGATCACTGGGCTGGGACACAGACTGGTAGCGGGCTTGTCCTGATTGCAGACTGCTGGGCTGGGACACAGCCTGGTATCTGGCTTGGGCTGACTGCAGACCACTGAGCTGGGACACAGACTGGTAGCGGGCTTGTCCTGATTGCAGCCCACTCGGATGGGAAACAGACTGGTAGCTGGCTTGGGCTGACTGCAGACCGCTGAGCTGGGACACAGACTGGTATCCTCCTTGGGCTGACTGCAGACCGCTGGGCTGGGACACAGACTGGTAGCTGACTTGTCCTGATTGCAGACCGCTGGGCTGGGACAGAGACTGGTAACCGGCTTGGGCTGACTGCAGGCTACTCGGCTGGGACACAGACTGGTAGCTGGCTTGTCCTAATTGCAGACCACTGGGCTGGGACACAGACTGGTAGCTGACTTGTCCTGATTGCAGACTGCTGGGCTGGGACAGAGAATGGTAGCCAGCTTGGGCTGTCTGCAGACCGCTGGGCTGGGACAGAGACTGGTACCTGCCTTGGGCTGGTTGTTGGATGCCGGACTGTAGGCCACTGGACTGGTAATAGGTTTGTGCTGACTGAAGACTGCTGGGCTGGGACACAGACTGGTACCTGGCTTGGCCTGACTGCAGACCACTGGGCTGGGACAGAGACTGGTAGCGAGCTGTTACTGGCTGCAGACCGCTGGGTCGGGACAAAGACAGGTAGCGGGCTTGTGCTGTCTGCAGACCAATGGGCCGGGACACAGACTGGTAGTGGGCTTGTGCTGTCTGCAGACCACTGGGCCGGGACACAGACTGGTAGTGGGCTTGTACTGTCTGAAGACTACTGGGGCCATTCACTGATTGGGAGCCAGTTTGTGTTGATTTTTGGAAACTAAGCTGGGGCACAACCTGGTTGCTGGCTTGTTGCTGGCTTGACAGCAGGCCAGACGGTGAGCTGGATTGGGCTGGTTGTTGGATGCCAGACTGGTCCACAGACTGGGAGCTAGCTTGTGCTGGTTGTTGGAAGCCAGACTGGTCCACAGACTGAGAGCTGGATTGGGCTGGTTGTTGGATGCCAGACTGGTCAACAGACTGTGAGCTAGCTTGTGCTGGTTGTTGGATGCCAGACTGGTCAACAGACTGTGAGCTAGCTTGTGCTGGTTGTTGGATGCCAGACTGGTCAACAGACTGTGAGCTAGCTTGTGCTGGTTGTTGGGTGACAGACTGGTCAACAAACTCTGAGCTAGATTGTGTTGGTTCTTGGATGCCAGACTCATCCACAGACTGTGAGCTGGCTTGGGCTGGCTCTTGGAGGCCAGACTGAGAGCTGGCTTGGGCTGAAAGCAGACTACCTGACAGTTCAACAGATTGTGAGCTGGCTTGGATGCCAGATTGGTCCACAGACTGAGAGCTGGTTTGGGCTGACAGCAGACTACCTGACAGTTCAACAGATTGTGAGCCGGCTTGGATGCCAGACTGGTCCACAGACCGAGAGCTGGCTTGGGCTGATTGTAGACCACTGGACTGGTCCATAGACTCCAATACAGAATTTGAGTTTGCACTGCTATACACACCCTTAACCTGTGCAGCACTGTAAGTGTTACTCCTTGATCTTTGAGGACTTGTGGGATTTGATAAATCAGCCCCATAATAGCTGTAGGAACTTCGTGGCTTCACATCCTGCATGGGGAAACCAGCCTCATAGTACATAGGATAACGACTCCTGACAAAGCCACCAACTAGAAGAAAATAAAAAGTAACAAAATCAGACACATTAACAAACATGAATTCTAGAACTTGCCTGGATAAACCTTACCACTTCCAAAATGGTCACAGACACAAAGACTGAGAAGTGCCAGAGAAAAACTGTGGACGAAAAAAAAAGTTAAATGAATGCCGCTTGTCAACAAAAACTAAAATTTTTCATCATACCTTAAGAGACAGCTACTGATACCCTCCATGGCCAAACAAAAATACAACTACCCACCTCAACAACACCAATTAAAAATTCAAACAAAACATACTTGATCACTAACACATATTAGTGCTGCCTGAAGGGACTCTTTATAGTGCCAGCAACTGACGTTTACCAATTGTTTCTTGGCAATCAGTTGTCATGGGAACATGTAATACTCAATTATTAGGGTCAGGTGTTACAACTATCATGACAGCTGCCATTTCATTAAAGATAGTTGAGTTTTTTTTATGATTACTGGACAGCACGCAAGATATTTTTTGGGGGATTAATTAAAGATACTTTGTGTATTTATTCAGTGAGAATACATTTTAGCATTTAAGGGAAGCAGTAGAATGCTCACTGTTCAAAATCTTAGCATTGATTTGGTCAAGCAGTCGTATATATTTTTATATTAAAATCTATTTCTTTCAATGATAACAGATGTTATAAATGTTTTTTCTTGCAAATTTGTTCGTATGGTTCTATGTTATGGCAATTTGTACTTATGGTTCTATGTTGTTTGGAGTATCTTAAGGAGCTGCAAAACTCATTATCTGCAATTCTCAAATGTGAAAATGTATTTTTTTTTTCATCTTTATTGAAACTGTTTGAAAACTAGAGCACACTGGTAATTTTATTTCAGATTTGTCATAAATAAATACATGTCAACATAAAAATCTGGCAGGACTATTCCTGTTAGGTTTACTGTGGTGAAAGCCCTCATCAGGGTTTTTTATTTATTTATTTATTTTTTTATTTATTTTTTTTGTATTTAGCTGAATGGACAACTTTATTTTATAACAAAAATACCTGGGCCCGTATTCATAAATATTCTAAGAATCCTCTCAGAAAACTCTTAATTCAGCTTAAAAACTTTTCCGTTGGAGTCTTGTTTAATTCAGGAGTGATCTGAGAACAACTCTGAGTAAGGAAAAGACAAAATCTCCCAGGTGTGTTCGACATCGGCTGCGGCTGGAAGCGATCGGCGAGAGTAGCCGCGTGCAGGCGGGAAGGAGCTGCAAACGGAGACGTGTCGGACACTTTCGGTTCCCGTATGGTGACCACTCACGTGGTGTTTGCATACTTTACCACAGCTGAAGTGAAAGAAATGCAATATTTGCCAAATACACAGATATTTCGGACACAATTTCATTTAATACTTTACTGCTTCATACAGCATCTGTTTGAACTAGAGTTCAAAACAAGCCCATATCAATGAAGTGGAGTCAACGTTTTTATAATCAGTCTTATTTTGATAAATATGACACAATATAACATCGCGACTACATGAAAAGACGGTTTACTGTTATAAAAAACTGATTTGTGAGCTTTAGTTGAACTAAAGGTGTGAGAATAAACACGAAACGCACATGATCGGCGAATCGTGGAACAGCTGTGACATCATCAGAGCTTGTGCATCTGCTCTTGAGAAGCTGTACTGGCTGAGTTCTCCGGCTACTCTCGAATCTCTCTCGCGGTACTTTGATGGCATATGTCACAGTCATGTGGAGTCAGTGCTGCATCAAATAGGACAAAATTTCTAACTGGCATGCACTGCATCAAGTCAGCCACCGTTCGGTCTGCGCAGAGCTGCATGAAGTCGAACAAGCCTCTCATCTTAGTGAGGAGGCGGGGCTGACCCTATTGCTATGTATGACACAATCTTGAAAGACTGTGATTGGTTGGTTGTCAAAGAAGGGAAAAAAAGAGTGATTTTAACTATAGGGTATATTCTAAGTCTTCACTTTGAAATGACATGCATTATTCTTCCTATTTTACTGTTCTCTCTCAAATCTTTTTTTTTTTTTGACTTGGGAAGTGTTGACAACCTCATGGGGTCATTCTTCAGGGTAGTTTACATTTAGATGCTGTTTAAAAGAGGAAAAGCAGGCTCCATGAGCTATTTTTTTATTGGGGATTCTGTTACTGGACATTTGACTGTACAATGTAGTTTGTGTACTATTAGTGTTATCTATCTATCTATCTATCTATCTATCTATCTATCTATCTATCTATCTATCTATCTATCTATCTATCTATCTATCTATCTATCTATCTATCTATACATTTCCCATTGTAGATTTCTCTGTACTAGCAAGAAAATGAAAGTCAAAATATGTATATCACTGATTACGTATCTTATGGACATCCTTTGCTTTTCATTTTGTTGTATTTGTGCTAAATAAATTGTTGCATTTTTTTGTTGTTAAGAGAAAATGGGTTGGGGGGATGAAATTGCTTGAAATATATAAACTAAACCATCAGTCCTCCTCAGGTGCAGAAATTAAATAGGTGGTGTAAGCCCACAGTTTTTAATGCTGATGTTGGCGGATAGTTGAATAGTAAAAATAGCTCATAGTCCCCATTTGTCCTAAGAGAAGTGGACTGTGGACTTGAGTTTCATGATAATACCTGCCCCAGTTTTTCCTGTTCTCCTTCCCTCCGTGAGGCAGTGGGGTAATGCAGGATACTTGCTGCTGCTTAAGGTAATCTGTGAAGGATGATTGAACTTTATCTGCGCTCTGCAGAGTGTCAAGCATGTAATGTGTATAATGGAGCCAGATAGAAAGTTTCCTTTGAAGAGTCTCATCCTCAAAGAGTGACCTGAAAGGTTGAAGATGGCGTGGGGGGGGGGGGGGGACTTAAATTAATTTGAGACAAACCTTTTAATAATACCAAAACTCTCTGACTCGTCAATGAATATAGCTCTAGTTTTTCGTTAAAAAACTCTAGCTCTAGTAAAAAAAAAAAACTAAAAAAAAAAACTGCTTCTATCTGTTTCCTTGCCAATGTCTGCCAGCCCATTATGAATCACCACAAATACTCATACTCAAATACTCAAAAATCTAATATCATTTCTCTAAAATGACTTCTAGGAGTATATTCAAGTGAACCAGTGGGACCAAGATTGAGAGATGTTAAGTAGTCCAGTTTTGCGATGAGGATCGGTGACGTCTATACAGACACTTTTTTGAGTAACACTTGTTTATCAGCAGGGGAACCCCCCAAGATACAGGAATGACCATATATGAACTTAACTTCCATAGGTACACGCATGGTATACCCCAACTGCATAATAAGTCAAATGGTATCTACATCCCCTTTCCTTTGTTCTGTACTTACTTCTTATAAAAAGTAATTTAATTTTAACAGAAATCTCTTAAACCCTGGCTTGTGAACTGGGTGCCATTGTCCACAATTGGCTTTATGCACAGCTGCACTACTTCCTGAACTTAAACCAGCTCCTTGTTTCCTGTCTGCCATTATTGACAAATTGATTAATCCAGGTCTGCCTGACCTCAGTAGTCATGGCAACAATAATCAGACACACCTGAATTAATCAAGTTCGGCCAATAATAGCAGACAGGAAAAAAGGAGCTGGCTTAAGTTCAGGAAGCATAGTGCAGCTGTGCATAAACCAATTTACTTCTGGGGAATGCTGTGCATAGAAGATTGCCTCTCCAGTTTATTTATGACATTTTGAGATGACAAAGTCTTGAGTGGGTTTATTTCAAACCACCCAGAAAAAGAATTAGGTATGGTTAACTGTTCCAGTCAAATACATCAGTGGCAACTACTGACCAAGGGAGTTCTGGGATCTCATGGAGGTGCAATGACTCCTTTTGTTGATGACGTTTCAGGGTGTTTCATATGCTGCAAGACTGCACAAAGTTGTCTATGTCCTGTGTCATAGTCAACCATAAAACAGAAAACTCCTGCATGGGCCTTGTTGTGCATGATTTTCAAATACTCACTCTGTAAGTTCCCTTTCGAGTGAACTCAAACTGCGTTAAATTACACTTTGGGGGAATGCCCCTCAGCGTAGCGGCTCTAAAGTATGAATGCAGGGCTCTCAAGTTTTGAATACAGGCAAGAGTGACATTCTCCTCCCCAATGAGGAGGGGGGTGTTGGAATGGGGGTGTTTCATCATTAATTATATTATTATTAGTGTATTTGTTGTTATTAATTGCAGAAAGTGTTTGACACATGGCACTGACAATTCAACCAAAGTGTTTATTCAATTTCAGAGAGAGAGAGAGAGAGAGAGAGAGAGAGAGAGAGAGAGAGAGAGAGAGAGAGAGAGAGAGAGAGATTATGACTGTTGTGTTGTTTGTTGTAAGTGTTTGTTTTGGACTCCTTTATCATTTGTGGTGTTGGCTCCAATTTAAAACACTTCGGCTCAAGCCCAGCCATTTTAGGGGGCTTTCCTCTTAGAGCGAATGAGAGGATGCTTGTTTGCTTTTTACCTGACATCTTTGAAAGACAGATGCAATGATTAATGCATCCATGGCCAGGATAATTATAAAATATGATTCTCTAACAGCAGTCAAGTTGTCATTGTTTGTATCAAACAATTTGTAAATTTGTTGAAACATTAAAACAGGAGATCATGACTTACTCTGCTCAAAGTGATCCTCTGAGCTCCAATTATTTCCTCTGCGGGTGAACGAAGCTTTTGGAAGAGATGTTGCAGAATCACTTGGACAATTCCAGGAAATGCTTTTTTTATTGGTTGCTGCGTTAAATAGATACAATAGTGCTATTTTCTGATTGTCTAACCTTTGTGTAGCCCTTCCTTTTTTTGATTGGCTGATAAGTGACAGGCTAGAGACGAGAGCAGGGGAGACAAGTGCGATTGATTTCTGCCAGTTCCACAGTGAGAGTGGCACGGCCAGAGACAATTTGAGTGCTGCGGTTATAGTTTTTCTGCATGAGAAATACAATGTGTGGTGGGAGTGCGTGACAAAAGACCGAAATGAGTGACTGTCACGCTCAATGCGTGACACTTGAGAGCCCTGTGAATGAAACTAAGCCAATCTCCGATTGGAGCAACGCGAGGATGTAATGTGTGACGACACATAGGCGGAAGCTTATATAAGGAACCGGCACACACAAGATGTCAGCTTCTGTTCTTCAGCAAGCGCTTTCTGTGACTGTCAGTCTTATTTATGGTTTGTCTGTCTAAGCCACACAAAAAACACTCATATA